ACCTCCCTGCCCTCTAACCCCTCCCCATCCCTCCTGCCCCCTTCCTGCCCCCTAACACCTCCCCATCCCTCCCTGCCCCCTCCCCCCTCCCCTTCTGCACCAACCTCCCCACCCTGCCCCCCTGCCCCGCCCCCCGGCACTCACAGCAGCCAGTCCACGGCGATGAGCAGGCTGATGTCCTGCGTGGGCAGCCCCACGGCCGTCAGAATGAGCAGCATGGTGACCAGGCCGGCGCTAGGGATGCTGGCCGCGCCCACGCTTGCCAGGGTGGCCGTCAGGCTAGGGGGCAGGGAGGGGGGTGGGGGGGTCAATGCAGAGGGCAGGGACCCTTCCCCGCTGGGGGGCCCAGGAGGTCGAGGGCCGGGGGTCTGGGGATAGGGTTGCCACTGGTCTAATCACACAAACACCCTGACCCCGCCCCTTAGCCCGAGGCCCCGCCCCTCCTTATAGACCCCGCCCCTTCCCTGAGGCCACGCCTCCTTCTCGGAAGCCCCGCCCCACTCACTTCATCCCGCCTCCCTCCGTCGCTCGCTCTCCCCTCCCCTCCCTCACTTTCACTGGGCTGGGGCAGGGGGTTGGGGTGCAGGAGGGGGCACCTGCAGGCACCGCCCCCTGCAGCTCCCATTGGCCGCAGCTCCTGGCCAATGGGAGCTGCGGAGTCGGGGCTGAGGGTGGGGGCAGAACGCAGAGACACCCCCCCCACACACACACCAGGGGCCGTGCCGGCCACTTCCAGGAGCAGTGCGGGGCCGGGGCAGGCAGGGGCCCGCCTCACCCCACAGCGCCACCGGACTTTTAGCAGCCGATCTCCCGGGTTGGGGTCAGTAGCCGCCGGGGGACCCGGCCTGATTCCAAAGGGGCGGCAACGCTGTGCGGGGCCTGGGGGCCCAGGAGTTTGGGAATCTGGGGGAGCTGGGGGCCCCGGGGGCTCACCTGACGGTGGCGATCTGCCCCCCGTCCAGGGCGATGTTGTTCATCTGGGCGATGAAGATGGCGGCCACGGCCTCGTACAGCGCCGTCCCGTCCATGTTGATGGTGGCGCCGATGGGCAGCACCAGGCGGGTGACGCGTCGATCGACCCCCAGGTTCTCCTCCAGGCACCGGAACGTCACGGGCAGCGTCCCCGCGCTGGGGGGAGACACACGGAGCCCTGGATAGCCCCCATAGCCCCCCAGACACCCCCCGATAGCCCCCCTGACACCCCCATAGACCCTCTGACACCCCCCGGCCCCACGCTGGGGGGAGACACGCATGGACCAACACCCCGATAGCCCCTGATATCCCCCAGTCCCACGCTGGGTGGAGACACACACAGATTCCCCAACACCCCCCGACATCCCCTGGCCCCGCGCTGGGGGGAGATATACATGCAGCATGGAGCCCCCTGACACTCCCAATAGCCCCCAACACCCCCTTTCCCCATGCGGGGGGCGAGACACACACGGAGCCCGCTGAGCCCCTGACACCCCCATTCCCCTGGGGCCCCCCGATAGCCCCCGACACCCCCTGACATCCCCCAGCCCCGTGCTGGGGGGTGAGACACACACAGAGCTCAATAGTCCCCAACACCCCCATACCCCAGATCCCTCTGATCCCCCAGTAGCCCCTGATCCCCCCGGACCCCCCTCCCCCCCCCCCCCCCCGGCCGCAGACTGGGAGCGAGATCCACGGAGCCTCCAATGCCCCCCGCCCGGTGCCCTCTGCCCCCCACCTGGAGGCGGTGCCCAGGGCGGTGAGCCAGGCCTGGAAGATGCCGGCGTAGAAGGCGAAGGGGTTCTGGCGCGTGACCCCGAAGAAGATGAGGGGCAGGACGAGGGCCCCGTGCAGCAGCAGCCCCAGGGCCACCGTCACCATGTACATGCCCAGCTGGCGGGCGACCAGCTCCAGGTCCTGCAGCCCGGCCAGCTTCCCGCAGATCAGGGAGGCGATGCCGAAGGGCGAGTACCTGGGGGAGGCCGGGGAGACCGTGAGGGGGTGGGAGTCGGGAGAGACCGTGAGGGGCGGGGCCAGGGGGAGACTGTGAAGGTTGGGGTGGGGCCAGGGGGGGAGACCATAAAGAGCGGGGCGGAGCCGGGGGCAGACCCTGAGGAGCGCGGCAAGGGGGAGACGGTGAGGGGAGGGGTGAGGCTAGAGGGGACAGTGGGGGGAGCGGGGACACTGCGTGGGGTAGGGCAGGGAGAAGGTGAAGGGGACAGTGAGGAAGGGAGACTATGAGGTGGGGGCTGAGGGGGGCCAGTGATGACGTGGGAATGTTCCTAATGTTTTCTCTGAATACTGGGTGGGTGCCTCAGTTTCCCCTATGCAATTCTCAAGGATCTAGGGGGTGTGATTGGTGCAGAGCCCGAGAGGGCAGGGGAATGGCCGATGCCCTGTCTCCTGGCAACTGATGGCCTGGGCCCCCCTGCGACTGAGGGGTCCTGGTCTCTGTACCCACAAGCTCTGGTTTGGGCTGTTCCTGTCGGCTAATAAACCATCTGTGTTACCGGCTGGCTGAGAGTCCCGGTGCATCGCAGGAAGTGGGGGTGCATGGCCCTGACACCCCCACACTCCATGAGAGGGACCATGGGGCTGAAAGGAGGAGGGGATGTAAGGGAGATGGGGGGCGGGGGAGACTGTGAGGGGAGGGGCTGGGGGCATGTGGGGGGACTCATGCATGGGGAGAATTGGGGGAAGTAGCTTGTGAGGGGGGAAAGGCTGCGAGGGGTGGGCCCGGGGGGAGATAGTGGGGGAGGGACAGTGAGAGGTGTCCTGAGGAGACCCCCCCAGGTCAGCTTAAGAGTGGGGTGGGGGATGAGATGTGACACGCCCGCCCCCCCAGCCCCCCCCCCCCCCCCCCCCCCCCCCCACCCCCCAGCCCCCCCCCTGCCCCCCACCATGGCCCCGCCCCCAGGCTCCCCCCCCATACCACATGATCATGGAGACCAGCTGCATGATGATCTCGTTGAGGATGTTGAAGAAGTCGGCCATGGGCTTGGCCTGCTCCCCCATCTGCCCCATGACCACCCCGAAGGCGATGAAGAACCCAATTAGCCCTGTGGGGAGGGAGCGGGGTGTGTGTGTCAGGGCCGTGGTGGG